GTAACCCTATCAATTATATTTTATTGTAATGGTAACATTTTTCCCATTAATGAATTGTTACATCCATGAAAAACAAGTGTGGCAGTACTAATATTTTAGAAATTTAATATTTAAAATTTATGCATATTATTTATTACATGCAAAATTCTGTAATAATGTAGATTTTTATATTCCCTAACAACTTGTAATTAAAGTGATATCCTGATGCTTTGGTTGTCTGTATCATAAATATTTAAGACAGTCAGGAAGAAACTTAGCTGTAACAATTTTGTAAAGTTTTCTAACAGTATACCAATTTTATTTATTATTTTTATATCTTTGAAAAGAGTGCTTCTATCATAGTTGTGAACACTTGCGACGAAACAAAACTAGAATGTGCTTCCAGTCAGGTTTTTACTGTAAAAAGTAATGATCATCAAGGCTCCAGTCTTCTGTAGCCATTACCTTATTACTGATGTCATTTGCAGCTTTGTTAATTAATAAAGGTATATAAAACCTGGCAACAGATTTTCTTTGCAATAAATATGTAGGTTTTGTGGAGCTGTATAAAAGGTGATGCATCAGAATACAAGAAATAATTTTTGCCACTTCATAAGGTGAAGTGAAATTTACAATATATGTCAATCCTCCTTCCCCTTCCCAGCTGTATCACCTTGACATGATGAGGGATAAGAGTAAATTATTGCATTCATGGAGAGGTACTAAACTCATAGGGATTGTACAGCAACTTTAGGAAGAGGCAAGGACATTCCATCAAGAGGTCCAATTCCTTGGCTCAAGAACCCCCACCCCCTCCCCACCGGAAGGAGTATTTGTAGTGTAAAATAATTACTCAATCCACTGCACAAACTGAGATTGTACATAAAAGATGCACCCCTCAAAGGAGGTTCCTTCAGTGCTGGTGAGGAGCTTTTGATCAAAGGAATTAAACTGGACTTTCCCTTCCTCGGACTGAACTCAAGTGCCTCTCAATCCCGTAGGTGCTGTATGACCCACTATGGATTTAACACTACCCCCATGAATAATAAATTATACAGGAAAGAGTACAGAAAGGTAGAACTGTGGGTAAAGAGGGTCAAAATGGGGAAATATTCATTTTTGGAGTATAAAAGTATCAAGGAATACAATATTCTATTTCTGATGAATATATAATCACAAATATAAATCTTTTCTTTTAACTCACCGACTGTATCCCACCGAGGCAGGGTGGCCCAAAAGGAATAAAGTTTCTCCTTTGAAATTTAGTAATATATACAGGAGAAGGGGTTACTAGCCCCTTGCCCCTGGCATTTTAGTCACCTCTTATAACACACACGGCTTATGGGGGAAGAATTCTGTTCCACTTCCCCATGGAGATAAGTGGAAATAAAAAAGAACAAGAACTAGTAAGAAAATAGAAGAAAACCCAGAGGGATGTGTGTGTATATATATGCTTGAATATGCATGTGTAGTGTGACCGAAGTGCAAATAGAAGTAGCCAGACGTACCTGAATTCTTGCATATTTATGAAACAGAAAAAAGACACCAGCAATCCCACCATCATGTAAAACAATTACAGGCTTTCGTTTTACACTCAGCAGGATGGTAGTACCTCCCTGGGTGGTTGCTGTCTACCAACAAACTACCAATAACAAATATAAATATCAGTGTATATTCTGTACATTTATTCTAATGATAGAAAAATATTCAAGGCTTTACATATGAATTTTATATACAAGTAGATACTTTTAGTCAATACTTATTTACTCTTAGCTCAATGAAATATTTTCACAATTTAAGACCCAACAGTTCTATGAACCCTGAAAAATATAATGTAAAACACACAAACTCCTTGACCAAAATCAACCTTAACAAAATTAAAAAAAAATTCACTTATTACACTGAATTATTATTTACAAACTAATTAAAATATTAAAGTATATATATATATACAGATTTAAGTAGGGAAAGTTAAAAATTTGTCCCATAGGTATACACCTTCAATTCTAAGATGCCATGGGAATGAGAAGGTAAGTTTTCAAAACTACTTAGATTTCAGGAACTTATTAGATCGGGTACTCTTATCATTGGCTTAGTTTCTTAAATAGCTTATAGCCTGTAGTAAAAAAAACTACGTTAACATTAACACAAACAGAGTTCCAACAGTAAAATTCAAATGACTGACTGTGTGCTATATCTGTCAGGAGCTAAATAAACGCTATGGGCTTAGCCCTTTTCTCTAATTAGGCCCTGGAAGCGAGACAGCATATTTAACACATTTTTGTTTACTATCCTTATTACACCATTGCATATGTTGTGATCTACGTATTATAGTGATATTGTCTTCACTGTTGTTCAGTATACAGTGAAACCTGTTTTCGTATGCCCTAGTTGGAGACAATTCTTGGAGAAAATTCTCTATAAAATGTAGTTTTGTTAATATTTTGGGGCGCCTGGAACAGAACCAATTAATCTGTTCGAGATACCCAAAAATATTAACAAAAAATACATTTTATAGAGAATTTTCTCCAAGAATTGTCTCCAACTAGGGCATACAAAAACTGAGGTTCCACTGTATAGTTTTATAAATAAAGCCTATAAATATTTTCTGACCACAAAACACTTGCAATATCTCCCAGGTGGGTCCAAGAGATGCTTCTACTAACTTCACACAAGTAGATAATAAATCCACTGCAGCAATGTATGATTTACACTCAGACAAAATTATCATATTAAATAAGCAAGTCTTACACTAACTTCCCTGTTATGCTATGCACTGCTTCAATCCATAATTTTATTCCTTTCACCATCTTACATAGAGTATGTAAGGGATCACTCACATAAGACAGCTTAGCAACTGCTGTACTGGCACCACAGTTTCCTGGATACTCTGCTAGTTTTTCTTTATATCGCATATTACATTATGGATTCATTCATGCCATAATGCCTATCAAACATGGCTGGACTCATACCCATGGCCAACATATAACAAGTTCACTTTCCTTTTTTTTTTTTTTTACTTTCGTCATGACTGCCTTTCCCTTCTGAACCGACTTTCTTTCATCAATACAACACAAAATATTTCTTGTTTTGGTTATACTATTCATATTTAAAATATTAGTTAAATTAACCTGTAAAATAACATAATTTATATATAAAATGAAATATAAAATTTAGGTTTTGTTCAAATTAGCCTTTACACAAAAATCTACAATTTTTCTAAATTATTTGCTGGAGCCTCTTTAGTAGGTAAGTGTAAATTCCATGTAATTGTAGAAAGCATTGAATAGCTGTAGCTTCCAGATAGCAGCACTTAAGATGTTCAGTTCACATTTTATAAATCACAGATTATTTCTATATAAAAGATGGTTAACAAGCTAATGTGTTTTGATTCAGTATACAGTTGGTGATATGTTGTGTTGAAGGTGTTAACCCTAAGATAAAAATGAACACTGGTCTGTGGTTTCAACCAGTAGCTTGGTCAAAGAGAAACTATAATAGAGCACAATTCAGAAATTATTTTCCTATAGATACCTTATGAACTACAATCCTTTAGTCTCTCTCACTATATAAACATTGCATTTTGATTTTCATCATTTGCTATTTTACTTTTGTTCTTTTTTTTCTGTCAGCAGGTTATACAAAAACCAACTGGTGGAGCTGGAGACAAATACAGCGGACCCCCGACCTATGATATTAATCCGTTCCTGAGAGCCCATCGTAAGATGAAATGATCACAGGTTGAATTAATTTTCCCCATAAGAAATAATGGAAATCAAATTAATCTGTTCAAAACACCCAAAAGTATGAAAAAAATTTTTTACTACATGAAATATACATTTTCCTACACATAAAAAAGAAGGATACATGCACAATAGTAGAGTAGTACATGCACAATATATATATTGTGCATGTACTACTCTACTAAATGAAGAATAAATGACACCTTTATTGAAGATGTAGCGATGACTGATGAGACACCGTTTGTGTCCTGGGAGTGCCTTTTCCTCCCGAGTAATGTAGGTCCTGTTTGGCATTTTCTTCCAGAACAGGCCTTATCACACTGTATGCCACTACTGATTCTTAAATCTCTTAAACCAACCTTTGCTGGCCTTAAATTCACCAATATGAACACTAGTTCCAGGCATTTTTTCCTGTTCACCTGGGTGTTAGTTGACTGGTGTGGGTCGCATCCTGGAGACAAGATTAACCCTTACACGGTCCAAACAGATCGACGTTTAAATTCATATTGCTACAAAAGTAGATCTACTTTTTTTTACATATTTTCAAATATAACAAAAAAAAAATGTAGATAAAAGTTTTTTTTACACATTTTCAAATGCAAAACAAAAAAGAAGATCTACATTTTTTTACATACTTTCAGATGTTGAAAAAACGTATACATGCGTTTGGACCATTTAAGGGTTAAGGACCCCATTGGAAATAACCTCATCAGTCCTCGATGACACACTGACTTTCTTGGGTTATCCTGGGTGGCTAATCCTCTGGGGTTAATTGTTTCTCGGTATTCTCGATAAACCACACCAACAACAGTCTCTCCACGTCTTCGAGTAGTACAGCTGACCATGGTGCAGCAGCAGCTGACCGTGGTGCAGCAGCAGCAGCAGCTGACCGTGGCGCAGCGACTACTTGGTACGATAGTATTTCTCACCCTTTTTACCACAGGGTTGGCACTAGAAGCTTTCTTTGGGCCCATGGTGGCTTATTTAGAAATTAGAAGCATTAAAAACACTGGAATAATACAAAATGTTCTGAATGTATGCGTGGGAGCGACTGCTCTGGCCTGTAAACATTGGCACACTAACTGAAGGCAGGCCTGCTCAGGCAGACAGACAAGTGGGGACGCGGACAGGACGAATGCTGTAGGTCGAGTTTTTCACTGTACGTCGGGGTCAAATTTTTACACTGAAATGCATCGTAGGTCGGTTTTTACGTAGGTTTTGGACATCATACGTTGGGGGTACACTGTATATGTAAAATACATCATTTCTTTTAGAGTATCTTTGAGCTTTGCACAACAATAATCTTCAAGTGATTCCAGATACCACTTTCAGAGGAAGAAAGGAGGCAGTGGCATTCATGAGTACAAATGCAACTGCCGACATTATCACTAACTTGAGAACACTGGACGGATAATTAGTAATAATGGACGGATGAATTAACTAGAATGGTCCCTTTTAAAAATAAATATAAAACTCTGCAACTGCATTTTAAAAAATCAATTATGAAAAATATGCATACACATGGAATACTGTATATCTGAGATTAGCAAAAATTACTGTATTTCAAACAGCAGAGTTAATGCAGTAACAAAATTTAAGTCATTATATACTACTGATCAGCAACAACATACAAATGACAAAAATATATATTACCTCATATTAATATGCTGTTTCAGATTCAAGTCCTCTGATCCACTTCCTTCCATTTACTCTCTATCAATGATAAGCACACCACTCCTTTATTCATCGTGTGTATACCATTCTGTTAGAATCATCATTTCATCTTGTAACTGTACAAAAGTTACTATCCCCAAATGGAGATATGCATGAAGGCCAAAGCACTCAGCAAGATCATACTGGCCATCAAACTGGCAGCACTGTTGCATCTCTCATCAAAGTCACAGAAGCAGAAGGTAACATTGGTGTAATGTTCTCTGGAAAAAATATGAAAACTTACATTTTATTTTTTTTTAACACTAGACATCTACCACCTACCTCTTACAACATATGCATGGCTTACAGAGGAAGGATTCCTCACTTCTTTTCTTTCAACACACAGGCCGTATCCCACCGAGGCAGGGTGGCCCAAAAGGAAAAACGAAAGTTTCTCCTTTTACATTTAGTAATATATACAGGAGAAGAGGTTACTAGCCCCTTGCTCCCGGTATTTTAGTAGCCTCTTACAACACGTATGGCTTACGGAGGAAGAATTCTGTTCCACTTCGCCATGGAGATAAGAGGAAATAAATAAGAACAAGAACTAGAAAGAAAATAGAAGAAAACCCAGAGGGGTGTGTATATATATATGTTTGTACATGTATGTGTAGTGTGACCTAAGTGTAAGCAGAAGTAGCAAGACGTACCTGAAATCTTGCATGTTTATGAGACAGACACCAGCAATCCTACCATCATGTAAAACAATTACAGGTTTCCGTTTTACACTCACTTGGCAGGGCGGTAGTACCTCCCTGGGTGGTTGCTGTCTACCAACCTACTGCCTACAACATTTTAATCTACCAGTGTATAAAAAAAAAAGTAACTAGAAAGATGAGACATTCACACAATCTACATATATAGCAGCTGAGCACAATGGTACACAGCACAGTAATTATAAAGAAAATCAAGTAGTGAGGAATCAGTACATATGGATAACATGGTGAGAGGTACCAGTGCATATGAGTAACAAGTGGTGAGGTACCAGCACATATGAGTAACAAGTGGTGAGGTACCAGCACATATGAGTAACAAGTGGTGGGGTACCAGTGCATATGAATAACAAGTGGTGAAGTATCTGTGCATCATGTAACACGAGTAATGAGAGGTAAGTCAGCCACAACAGCCAATGACATTTGCTATAGAGTGGTGCAATGGTGAAAATAAACTAGCTACATTAAGTCGCATAAGATCATGAATGAATACGAATAGATAAAGCTGACTGTCAACAGGGAAAACAAAGGCCACAACTGTAAATAGAAAACAGAGGGGATGAAAGATTAGTAAGTATTTATCTACAAAGATATTGGTTAATTTTCTGGAAACAAATGCAAGAGAAGGTACACTAGTAGATGCTTAAACTATAAGAAAAGGACAACTTAGATATCAAGGAAAACAAAAAAAATTGAGTAACCATCATATCAACCCTGCCCTCTGAAGTGCACAAGCAGAATACAGTATAATCAGTGGGACAGTAGAGGCTGGTCAACATAGCCTGGAGTTTACCTGGAGAGAGTTCCAGGGGTCAACGCCTCCACGGCCCAGTCTGTGACCAGGCCTTTAGAAATTTAGAAAGACATTCAAGAAACAGAACTGTTGATTATAAACATGCAACCAATCCTTGAGTATGCATCAAGAGAGTAGAAGTCAGTCAGAGTCTAAATATAAGCCTCCAGGTTGGTGTTAAGCCCATAAAAGGTCATTCAGCACTGAGAGCAATATTAACCCTTTCACTGTTCAGACCCCTGAAATTAATATGGCTGTGTCCACTTTTTTCTAGCTATTTTTTCTTCCAAAATGGTAAAGAATCTACTTTTGAAGGTAATGACACCAAAAGTATGAAATCTGATGTTAAACTTACAGTATTATGCAGGCGCAAAGTTAGCAGTCTCGGTGCAATTTACACATCAGCAATATTGTCTACTTTGAGTCCTATTTAAAGTCAATTCCATTGTTCCATTCAACCAAGTTCTTAGCTACTTCACTAGTATGCCTTCCGTTCTATTGATTGAGCATAAGAAACCACCCATTCAACTATTTCAACTATCCTATAAAGTGCACAGAAACAAGTAATTTGGCCAATATTACATGATTAAAAAAATACCAATTTAAAAATAGTCCATAATAAGCAATATCTCCGTGGTGAAGTGGAAAAAGAATTCTTCTTCCATAAGCCATGCGTGTTGTAAGAGGGGACTAAAATGCTGGGAGCAAGTAACCCTTTTTCCTGTATATATTACTAAATTTAAAAGAAAAACTTTTTGGGTCACCCTGCCTTGGTGGAATATGGCCAGTTCATTGAAAAAAAAATGTAGACATTCCTGGCACTAAAACAACATTTCCTCTGTTCATTAATCATGTTCCCAGGCCTTCTATTTTGAATTCTTAGTCACAAGAAAATAGAGGATTTACTCTATTTCTTGGATAATCAAATATAACTAGGAAAGATTCCTCATGGTTTACAGCATCCCAATAACTGAATCATACCCATTAAAAACCCATAAAACAGAATGAGGGTTGTGGGGGTCTTACCCATCCTCTGGAATATTGGCAAAAATAAAATATTTCCACTACTTTTGAGCTCAATTTCAAGCTACTTCCAGTCCTGAACCCAATCAAAATCATCTCTATTTCAATAGTATGTCTTCCATTCTATCAAATGATACCAAGAAACAGCTAACAAAACCATAAAAACCATCCGAGAAAATACCTCAAAATCGCTATTTTACAACGTACACATGGTCACAGTTTTGAATTCCCCATCATGCACCACATAGGGCAGGATTTTTTTTATACCATGCACACTCACCGTACAGACCCATTCTCTCTTATCTAGGCCAAAATTAACCTCTCACAGCTCGTGGTGTAGAAATGCATCAATGACATCGTTCTATGTAATGCACAGTGAAAGAGTTAATTTCAGAGTGTCAACAGTGAAAGGGTTAATTTCAGGGTGTGGACAGTGAAAGGGTTAATTTCAGGGTGTGAATAGTGAAAGGGTTAATAGACTAATAGGGAATAAAAATGGCCATTATTGGTATTTCAATATATGTATAGAAATGAGACTGTTTTGCCATGATCATAACAATAACTAACACTTCTGTAACCAATGGACTTTGTCCACTATGTACGTATTTCAAAATCAACTGGCCTTGTGGATTTTGTCCAGTATTTCAAAAGTCCATTATATCAAGGTCCATTAAACTGAGGGACTGCTGTGCTTCAAAAAAAAAAAAAATGTTTAAATACTCACCGAGAACTGCTCTGATAGCGTATGTTGGACATAACATTCACCTAGGCATTCTGTCTCGGTATCTTAATAATGAGCTAAAGCATTGTAATGTTTTCATTGATTGTTTTACTTCAATTTTATATTCTGTCTTTTACTATTCCTGACCTTAATCTAAGAAATTAAACAAGCACAACCCTCACCTCTTATGGTCAATCTCAGGGATGGAAGGGAATATGTACTCTCCAAGCATGGGATCTTTGGCAGAGCGGCGGCAGCCTTCATACCGGTCAGCTGGGATATCTCTACGATGACCCTCCAGATTGCTAAGGCAGTCACGCGTCACCATGACATCCACTGTAAAGATTGGAAACCACACACAAGTTAGCCCTCGATTTGTGTAAAATTGTGAGGTGTGGTTTTACTGGAACTCTTGATTCTTCAACATTCTTCAATATCAGTGCTCTTAAAGCAATAGCTAAGACATATAGCCATGTGAACTTTCACAATGATTCACTGAAAATTTACTTTTACGTATTTGAAAGAATCGTTCAAAATTTCAGTGAAGGAATATAAAATAATGACATACATACATTCTACACATTTTAGTAAAAACTTCTTTACTACCAAGGCAGCTCAACTGTGCTAACTTTCTTTTATAACACTTTATTTTTTAATAATTTTTGTATTATAATGTTTTAGTATCGAACAATTTAAAAAAATTTATTCACTTTCACTGATACAGCTGAATATGGTAGAATACAGTAATACAAGCAAGTAGAACAAGCATGAGAGCTCAAGTCATATCAAACAGGTAAAACTTCGTTTATATTCTCTTATTCAAATAATAAAAATGTTAATTTACTGAACTACTTGCATAAAAATTTATAATGCTTGTTATTTTAGTAAATAAAATTCTAATAATCAAATTCCTTGTTTTCAAGATATGAATTAATGTAATCAGTAATGTAGCTCGATCGCTAGCGCACTCAGCTCACACACTGAGGTCCGGAGTTCAAATCTCCTCCAGTACGGCTGGAAAACATTAGGGATGTGTTTCCATAAGCCACCTGCTGTCCCTGTATGCCCATCAGTAAAATGGGCACCTGGGTGTTAGTCGACTGGTGTGGGTTGCATCCTGGGACAAAACAGACTTAATTTGCCTAAAAAGCTCTGCATAACAAGGGGCTTTCTATACAGCAGTATGTCATTGATGTCAGCTGGGCCTGTATACCATGTACATGTACTTGAAGTAAATAAAGATATTATTATTATTAATGAAAATAAATCTTCAAATTTCAAAAATATAAGCTCCGGAAGACAGTACAGCCTCTCCTCACTTAACGATGGATTTCTGTTCCTAAGACCACATCGGTAAATGAATTCGTTGTTAAGTGAGGAGCATACTACTGTATAATGGGTTTGTGTCAACCATCTTTGATATTGTTTTAATGTCACCTCTGCACCATTTATAACATTTCTGGTATACATGTAGTGAAGTGAATGGAGACAAATGGTTTTTTAATACTTGACATGCTGTTGGAGTGTGAGCAAAGTAACATTTATGAAGGGGTTCAGGGAAACCGGCAGGCCGGACTTGAGTCCTGGAGATGGGAAGTACAGTGCCTGCACTCTGAAGGAGGGGTGTTAATGTTGCAGTTTAAAAACTGTAGTGTAAAGCACCCTTCTGGCAAGACAGTGATGGAGTGAATGATGGTGAAAGTTTTTCTTTTTCGGGCCACCCTGCCTTGGTGGGAATCGGCCAGTGTGATAATAAAAAAAATAAAAAAAAATATGTATTTTTAAATATTTATACAGTGGACCCCCGGTATTCGATATTAATCCGTTCCTGAGAGCTCATCAAATACCGAAAATATCGAAAAGCGAATCAATTTTCCTCATAAGAAATAATGAAAATCAAATTAATCCGTGCAAGACACCGAAAAGTATGAAAAAAAAAAAAATTTACTACATGAAATATTAAGTATAATGCAATAGAATAATTACAATAACAATAGAATAATTGACACTTACCTATGTATGCCACTACGATTCTTAAATCTTTCAAACCAACCTTTGCTGGCCTTAAATTCACTCACATCAGCACTAGTTGCAGGCAATTTCTTTACCAAATCGTCATGCAACTGCCTAGCCTTTTCACAAATGATCACTTGAGAGATGCTATGTCCTGCTATCTGTTTTTCATTTATCCACACCAATAACAGTCTCTCAACATTTTCTAACACTTGCGGTCGCTGTTTCGTAATGACAGTTGCACCTTTTGCAAGAACAGCTTCCTTGATTGCCGTTTTCCTGGTCACTATAGTAAAGATGGTTGATTGGGGTTTATTATAGTACAACCTGACCAACTCCGATACACGCACTCCACTTTCGTACTTTGCAATTACAGTATCTCTTTCTTCATTTCAATAGTCATTAGCACCTTTTTTCTCGAAGGGTTGGCACTAGAAGCTTTCTTGGGGCCCATGGTGACTTATTTTCCAGAAACAAGCACCAAAAACAGTGATAATGTGGAATGTACCGAATGTATCCTTAGATGCGCGCACACTGGCTGGCTTGTAAACACTGGCACACACGGAGCAGTTCAAGCCACACGTGGACACGTCTCGTACGAATCGTATCGAATACCGGGTTTTCGATCGGATACCGAGGCAAAATTTTTGCGATATAATGCATTGAATACCGGATTTATCGAATACCGATGCCATCGAATACTGGGGGTCCACTGTACATTAGTGTACTGTATATTGTAATAAACAGAATAGAGGAAATCAGTTCTAATATACATTATTTAGGTATGGATACTGGTCAGAGAGCCCATCATAAGTACGGGCATTGGTAAACGAGTACGTCACTAAGTGAGGAGAGGCTGTATACTGGGAAATAAATTACTGACCAATGGAATGCTCAAAACAGGTTTTAGAACATAAGAAAGAAGGAACACTGCAACAGGCTTACTGGCCCATGCAGGGCAGGTCCATGTCAACCCCTGGCTTAGACCAAGAGCCCACCCAGTCAGGTCACCTACACCTAAGGAAGGAGCACGGCATATGACCCATAGCACCAGCTAGTCAAGTCCAACTCACACCCACTCATGAATTTATCTAACCTATTTTTAAAACTACACGTCTTAGCTTCTATAATGGTACTCGGGAGTTTGTTCCAATCATTCACAACTCTATTACCAAACAAGTGTTTTCCTATATCCTTCCTGAATCTTAATTTTTCCAGCTTAAAACCATTGCTGCGAGTCCTCTCTAGGCTAGATGCGAGTCCTGTCTAGGCTATAATGGAAATTTATTATTAAAGGGGAAGCTCTAAACCCACATGGGTCATATAGCACCTGGGGAATTGATGGTAAAGAGATCTGATATAAGGAAGGGGAGGTTATCCTCAATTATCTAGATCAAGAGCTCTTTGCCAGCATCAAGGTGCTCCCTTTGAATGATATAATGGGCGAGACTTACCTCCCTTCTGTTCTATGATCTTGACACACTTGTCTTCAGGATCTGGACAGCTGTAACTCCAGTAATAGCGCCAATCAAAGTCATACAATCCACATCCTGGATGGGAGCCAACACATCTGTAGCACCAGATACTGGAAGCTGGAATTTGGTAACTCTTAGTTTATGCCGACAGATAAGTACATTTATTTAGGTACAGGTACACAAGTACAATTATCATCCATAGTAACATATGTATTACCTCAGTGGGATATGCCTGGTATGTGGGATATGCCTGGTCGTGGACCGGGCCGCGGGGGCGTTGATCCCCGGAATAACCTCCAGGTAACCAGGTAGCCCCCCCCCCCCAAAAAAAAAAAAAAATCAGACAGACTTATTTTTCCTGGGGTCCTTAATACATTACCCAGTAAAATACGATTCCTGTTGTATGGTGAAAAATAAGATGGTACAGTAGGTTTATACTGTATTTTACCCAGTTTTTTCCAATTTTATTTTATAAGCTACAGTATTTTGGATGGAGATATGCATGCATGCCTCTGGCAAGACAATGATTGAATGAATAATAATGAAAGTGTTTCTCCTGTTTTGGTGGGAAATGGCTGGTGTGTTAATAAAAAAAAATAGTATTTAATAAACATCTTTTTAACCACCTTCAGTTGGCAGTGCACTCACCGTACATACTGAGTGACCATGATTCAATCCCTGGCACAGGTGGAAACACTGGGCATAGTTCCTCACACTTGCTGCCCGTTTACCTAGTAGTATGTAGGTACCTAGGTGTTAGTCAACCGGTGTGGGTCGCATTCTGGGGGGAAAGATTGAAGGATTCTAATGGAAATAAGACAAGAAAGTCTCTGAAGATGCACTGATTGTAATGGGTTATCCTGGGTTGTTAACCCTGTGAGTTAAAAACTCCGAACAAATCTTATCATAATATAAAACTGAAATATTTTCACATCTTGTTTTTCAGGTTAAAATTTAGGGCCAGAAGCATAAATAAACCATACTGCTTAACTTTCTTGGATTATCTTCAGTAATTAATCCTCCTGAGTTGCACAGTTTGGTAGCATGCTCGGCTCACATATAAAAGGACCCAGACTTGTGCCTGTGATATATCAGTAACTATTTTCAAGAATTATCCTATATTCACAGCTTGGCATGTGGCCAAGATTTTCTGCCACTTGGCTGTTTAATTAGACTCTAGCTCTTGTCAGCCCACTGGCCGATGTGTTCATTCCAGTTTGGTGGCACTTGGCAGAGGCAATGATCCAGTTTCCATTTGATACTTGTCCAGTTTTCTCTCAAAGACTTCAACACTTGTTCCAGCCATGTTTCTGATAGCTTCTGGTAAGATGTTGAATAGTCTTGGGCCACGAATATTGATACAGTGTTCCCTTATTGTGCCCACCACACCCCTGCTCCTCACTGGGTTTACTTTGCACTTAATAATAATAATGATATCTTTATTTACTACAAGTACATGTACAAAGTTTACAGACCACAGCTACAAAATAGAACGAAAAACTAACGTCAAAGACCTGGGAGTGATCAAGTTGGAGGATCTCACCTTCAAGGACCATAACATTGTATCAATCGCATCTGCTAGAAAAATGACAGGATGGATAATAAGAACCTTCAAAACTAGGGATGCCAAGCCCATGATGACACTCTTCAGGTCACTTGTTCTATCTAGGCTGGAATATTGCTGCACACTAACAGCACCTTTCAAGGCAGGTGAAATTGCTGACCTAGAAAATGTACAGAGAACCTTCACGGCACGCATAACAGATATAAAACACCTCAATTACTGGGAGCGCTTGAAGTTCCTGAACCTGTACTCCCTGGAATGCAGGCGGGAGAGATACATGATTATATACACCTGGAAAATCCTAGAGGGACTAGTACCAAACTTGCACACGAAAATCACTCACTACGAAAGCAAAAGGCTCGGCAGGCGATGCAACGTCCCCCCAATAAAAAGCAGAGGTGTCACTAGCACGTTAAGAGACAACACAATAAGTGTCAGGGGCCCAAGACTGTTCAACTGCCTCCCAGCATACATAAGGAGGATTACCAATAGACCCCTGACTGTCTTCAAGCAGGCACTGGACAAGCACCTAAAGTTGGTACCTGACCAGCCGGGCTGTGGCTCATACGTTGGATTGCGTGCAGCCAGCAGTAACAGCCTGGTTGATCAGGCTCTGGTCCACCATGAAGCCTGGTCAAAGACCGGGCCGTGGGGGCGTTGATCCCTGGAACTCTCTCCAGATAAACTCCATGTAACATCAATGACATACCACTATACAGAAAGCCTCTTGTTATGCAGAGCATTTCGGGCAAATTAGGTCAGTTTCGTCCCAGGATGCTACCCACACCAGTCGACTAACACCCAGGTACAAATTTTGCTGATGGGTAACACAGACAACCGGTGTAAAGAAACATGCCCAATGTTTCTACCCTTGCTGGGAATCAAACCAAGACCCTCCCTTATCTCTCACTCCAGTATATTGTTATGGCAGTGAGAAGATCTGGGACCAGGATCTCCATGTACCTATTACTGTGACCCAATCCTCTTTTTAATTTGATTAAAAATGATTTGGCTTACCTTATTCCTAATATATCCCCTTTTATTGTAACTAATTTTCACACACTTAAGTTATTTAGCTCTTTTAACTTTTAAGGCTACAATCATGACTGATTTCTACTGTAACTTATAGTTAGGCTTTAAATAATAAGTTATTACAAGGACCACAATGGAAATAAGTCACTGACTTTTTTTGGGTTATCCTAGGTAATCTACATATATGCTGCTATGTATGATAATTTGTAACTCTATGTGTACCTGTACCTAAATAAACTTACCCACTTACAATAATAGGTACCTGAATATTAACTATACAAGAAATCACTCTCCTCCCCTTCTGTATTCAATCATTAGGTACCTTATAGCTTTCTGTAACTTCATTTATTAGGTACCTTATAGCTTTCTGTAGCTTCATTAGGTACCTTATAGCTTTCTGTAACTTCATTTATTAGGTACCTTATAGCTTTCTGTAGCTTCATTTATTAGGTACCTTATAGCTTTCTGTAGCTTCATTTATTAGGTACCTTATAGCTTTCTGTAGCTTCATTTATTAGGTACCTTATAGCTTTCTGTAGCTTCATTTATTAGGTACCTTATAGCTTTCTGTAGCTTCATTTATTAGGTACCTTATAGCTTTCTGTAGCATCATTTATTAGGTACCTTATAGCTTTCTGTAGCTTCATTCATCAGGTACCTTATAGCTTTCTGTAGCTTCTTTCATCAGGTACCTTATAGCTTTCTGTAGCTTCATTTATTAGGTACCTTATAGCTTTCTTTAGCTTCATTTATTAGGCACCTTATAGCTTTCTGTAGCTTCATTTATTAGGTACCTTATAGCTTTCTGTAGCTTCATTAGGTACCTTATAGCTTTCTGTAGCTTCATTAGGTACCTTATAGCTTTCTGTAGCTTCATTAGGTACCTTATAGCTTTCTGTAGCTTCATTAGGTACCTTATAGCTTTCTGTAGCTTCATTAGTTACCTTATAGATTTCTGTAGCTTCATTAGGTACCTTATAGCTTTCTGTAGCTTCATTCATCAGGTACCTTTTAACTCTCTTCCAGTTCAGGAAGAGATCTAATTACTATTATTATAATCATAATTATAATAATTATAACTTCAGGTATCTTCCCCTCACAAGAGAACATAAAGATACTTAATGAAGCTACAGTGATGGGGAATGGTTGGTTATGAGGTTTTAAGTAAAGATCAAGAGTCCTTTGCCAGCATCTTTGAAGGAATAATAATTATAGGAATTATTATTATTATCAAGGGGGAAGCGCTAAACCCAGAGGATTATACAGCGCCTGGGGGGGGGGAATGTGGAAGGCATTCAGGCTTAATTCGGGGAACTGGATCACAGATCCAATTCCCTAAATCAAGAGCCCCTCACCAACATCAAGGAATAATTATAGGAAGAAAAAAGTTGTAAACAATCAAACAGGTGTCAGTGGCCACAACAACGGCCAATATAGCAACTTTTACGAGGTTTAGCACTGTTTCTGCGCCATAGACAACCCCAGCAAGTATCTACATTACTTACCCACAGAGATCAGCGCAGAAAAAATAATGGAAGACAATATATTCTTCATTTTTTACCCGATATTTGACTCCACTAATGAACCCCACCCAATGCTACTCACTCGTATTGCTCGTGTTCGTACGTCTTCATTCATCGTAATTCTCTAAGAAATATATTAACTTGCTTTTTATTTATATAATTTATCATAATATAATCGACTAGTAATTTTATAAAGAGCTTGTAAAATTTTCTAATTCGATTAGTTCAAAAATAAAGTCCGATATTTTGCGACAACCAAAGCCGAAGCCAAGTTCATTTATCTAATTCGAATGGATAACGCCAAGGTGTTTTCTGAATGTAAATATTAAAATTTGTTGGTTAAATTTAATATAAATCTTGAATAAAAACAGAAATAACAATTATTTTTGGTAATTACTTAGCGAAACGCAAAGTATTCGTTAACTAATTCGTATACGTTAGTACCTGATTTCGCTAAGATTTTTACCGTCTTTAGATACAACGAAATTACCTTTTCAAACACCCCCCCCCTTTTTTGCGGGGGGGGGTTATTCTAGGTAATTTACACAAATGTTACTATATATGACAATTGTACTTATGTGTACCTGTACCTAAATAAACTTACCCAACAAATCTTAGAGATTTTTACTACACGAGTAGGATCATTACAGATACCCCACCAAATGACTACCTCACTGGCAATGACCCCAATGGAAATAAGTCACTCTGTCTGACTTTTTTGGGTTATCCTAGGTTCTCTACACATATGCTGCTATGTATGATAATTCTATGTAACTGTATTTGTGTATACCTGAATAAACTTACTTACTTACTTACTTACTTAACTACCCGAACACACTGTTCCTAGCTCCGACTAACCCATACGAAGTCTCCCTTATTATCAACGCACTAAAAAACAAGGCAGGAGATTTAAATACCTTACCACCCTTTATATACAAAAAAGTGTCACAAGTGCTATCACCAATCATTGCAACACTCTTTAACAAATCCATTGAATCCTCCACCTTCCCTACAGTACTCAAAATAGCAAGGGTCACCCCGATCCACAAAGGAGGAGACCAAACAGAGTTGAATAACTATAGGCCAATGTCCAACTTACACCCTCTCTCAAAAATCTTCGAAAAATTAATTCACAAACGAATCAACTCCTACCTTATCTCCCAAAACATTCTCAACCCCTGCCAATTTGGATTCAGGCCTAATAAAAATACTAATGATGCTATTATACACATGCTAGAACATATATACACAGCAATAGAGAAAAAAAGAAGTCCCACTGGGATCTTCATTGACTTACGTAAAGCTTTTGATACAGTTGACCATGACTTGCTCCACGTAAAATTGTCACACTATGGTATAAAAAAGGGCACTCCCTCAACTACCTCAAGTCATACCTCAGCAACAGAAGCCAATATGTGTACGCAAATGGGGCAAACTCTCTGCGCAACCAATTACAGTTGGTGTCCCACAGGGAAGTGTCCTTGGCCCTCTTCTCTTTCTCCTATACATAAATGACCTACCAAATGCTTCGCAATTACTCAAACCCACACTTTTTGCAGATGACACTACATACGTCCTTCTCTCACCCGAGCCCAGTCACGCTAGCCAATACTGTAAACACCGAATTACAGAAAATATCTACCTGGATGAGGACTAACAAACTTACACTAAACATTGACAAAACCTACTTCATTCAGTTTGGTAACAGAGCTACAGATGTCCCTCTTAACATAATGATAAACGGATCACCTATCACAAAACTAACAGAGGGAAAATTCTGGAATCCACCTTGATAATAGACTCAAATTTCATACACATATACAACAAATTTCTAAGAAAATTTCAAAGACTGTAGGCATACTATCGAAGATACGGTACTACGTTCCACAGTCAGCCCTCCTGGCCCTATATCACTCTCTTATTTACCCCTATCTCACCTATGGAATTTGTGCATGGGCTCAACAACAATTAACCATCTCAGACCACTAATTACCCAACAAAAGGCTGCAGTTAGAATGATAACAAATTCTCACTACAGGCAGCACACTCCACCAATATTCAATACACTAAACCTACTCACCATACAAAACATCCATACTTATTACTGCACCTATTACATACATAGAACACTTAACTCTGATATTAACCCTCCCCTCAAACATCTCCTTGCCAACCTCAACAGAACACATGACCATAACACAAGGCACAGATCACTCTTTGATGTTCCTCGTGTCCATCTCACACTATGCAAAAACTCAATGCACATAAAGGCCCTAAATCTGGAATTCATTACCTGTAAATATAAAAGAAACACTACCTGTTTATAAATTCAAGTCTCTTCTCAAAGATCACTTACTCACCCAAAACCAAATAAATACTGAATAACTGAACCTTATAAATTGTATATCTTAAATGTTTCTCACAATTATATCACATAAATGTTAAACCTAAAACCGAATCTAACTTTATTATTTTTTAAACACACTACCTAACAGAATACTTCATACGACTGAATGTACAACAATGCATGCAACCATATGACCTGTCTTTGTAATACTCACTTGTGCTTTATAGTAATCTGTTTACATTAATGTTTTATCACTGATTTCATCATTGCTTAGTTAATCTTAAGTTAATTTTAAGCCAGCCCGTAATGCTATGCATAGTATAAGTGGCTTTGGCATGCTGCTCTTATCTGTATTTTTTTGTACCTCTGTATGTGTGTTCAAATTGGAAATAAATAAATAAATAAATAAATAAATAAATGCATGAGAGGAGCTCTTAACTAGTATGGGTCAAACAGTACCTGGTGTAATGGAAGGCACACAGACTGGATCCAAGACAGGGGCGGATAAGTCCATATGTTACTGTGTGTGATAATTATAATCACCCAAATTTGTGTAACTGGGCACATGTGAACCTGCACCTAAATATACTTACTTATTACTTATTTACTTACGTATTTATTTAGTTACTTATTTAACATTACTGGTCATGGATCGGGCCATGGGGGCGCTGACCCCTGGCACACCCTAGAGGTATACCCTGTGTAGTCCAGTAATGTTAAATAATGTGATCATCTACGTACACTCAGAAGCATAAATGTACGTGGTGCCTGCGACTTTGGTCATAAATCCAGCAGATTAATTTCATCATATAGGTGTCCCATAGCTCGATCGGTAGCGCACTCAGCTCACACACTGAGGTCTGGAGTTCGAGCCTCCGGTACGGCTGGAAAACATTAGGGACGTGTTTCCATAAGACACCTGCTGTCTCTGTTCACCCATCAGTGTGAAATGGGTACCTGGGTGTCAGTCAACTGGTGTGGGTCGCATCCTGGGACAAAACTGACCTAATTTGCCCGAAATGCTCAGTATAACAAGCGGCTTTCTATATATTATTATTATTATTATTATTATTATTATTATTATTTCTACTAGTGACACTGGTCCGCAAATTAGCGAGTTTCATATGTAATTGTGTAACATTCTTATATACACTATATTGTACCAATCAGAATTTGAGCAGTGTCTTCAAGAAGGCGCTGGACAGGCACTTAGTACCTGACCAGCCGGGCTGTGGTTCTTACGTCAGTGTACGTGCGGCCAGCAGCAACAGCCTGGTTAATCAGGCCCTGATTCACCGCTAGGCCTGGTCACAGACCAGGCTGAGGGGGTATTGACCCCCCGAAACCCTCTCCAGGTGAACAGGGACAACAGGTGTGTTACGGAAACACGTCGTAATGTTAGCCAGCCGTACGTATCCTTGGCACAATTAACTCTAGTGGTGTAATTCACAATGTATTTTAAGGGCGAACGCCTTAAAAATACACACTACTTTTACTACATATCGGGCAAATGGCTTTGTCGTTATATATAAAAGAAAATATGATAGTTCATTTCTCATTGAATGCACATTATTCTTCTCTTAATTTTTTTTTTACAGAGGTTTTGTTGCCTTTTTAACAACAGTCTGAAAGAGGTTGTAAGTAGATTAATACTTTCTGTCTTCACTGTACTACTTATATTCACCTTATCTCTCTACATTCACTGTGCCTCTCTACATTCATTCTGCCTCTCTACATTCACTGTATCTCTCTACATTCACTGTACCACCTACATTCACTGTACCACCTACATTCACTGTACTGCCTACATTCACTGTATCTCCCTACATTTACTGTGTCTCCTACATTCACTGTACCTCCCTACATTCACTGTACCACCTACATTCACTGTACCACCTACATTCACTGTACCACCTACATTCACTGTACCACCTACATTCACTGTACCACCTACATTCACTGTACCACCTACATTCACTGTACCACCTACATTCACTGTACCTCCCTACATTCACTATGCCTTTCTACATTCACTGTACCTCCCTACATTCATTATGCCTCTCAACGATCACTTTGCCTCTCTACGTTCACTGTACCTCTCTACATTCACTGTACCTCTCTACATTCACTGTACCTCTCTACAGGCTCTACAGGCCCTGCTCGAGGTGGAGCAGGGCCTGATCAACCAGGCTGATACTGCTGGCCACACGCAAACCAACGTTCGGACCACAGCCCGGCTGGTCAGGTACTGACTTTAGGTGCCTGTCCAGCTCCCTCTTGAAGAAGCCAGGGGTCTTGAAGACAGCCAGGGGTTTTTAAAGACAGCCAGGGGTCTTGAAGACAGGCAGGGGTCTTGAAGACAGCCAGGGGTCTTAAAGACAGCCAGTGGTCTTGAAGACAGTCAGGGGTTTGGAAGACAGTCAGGGGTCTTGAAGACAGCCAAGGGTCTTGAAGACAGCCAAGGGTCTTGAAGACAGCCAGGGGTCTTGAAGACAGCCAGTGGTCTTGAAGACAGCCAGGGGTTTGGAAGACAGTCAGGGGTCTTGAAGACAGCCAAGGGTCTTGAAGACAGCCAAGGGTCTTGAAGACAGCCAGGGGTCTTGAAGACAGCCAGGGGTCTTGAAGACAGCCAGGGGTCTTGAAGACAGCCAGTTGTCTTGAAGACAGCCAGGGGTCTTGAAGACAGCCAGGGGTCTTGAAGACAGCCAGGGGTCTATTGGTAATCCCAGTTATGTATGCTG